ATAAAGCCTATGATGGTTGATGGATGATTGCAAACACACCAAAACTTTTGTCAATGATTTTTTAATCATTTGTTCATACTGCTGTGATTCAACACTGTTAGAATATTTCTGTGATAATACTCAGTAGTCAAGTACTGTATGGTACACATCCATTCTCTATAGGATTAATCTTTGGATTTTTCCCTCCCTGTTGGCTTCAAAGGGCACAATGGTTTGAATCTTAGAGGTTGCATGTTCTTCTTCTACCTTTCTGTTTTTAAAAATGAATGCCACAAAGTTACCCTTTATGCATCAGAGTAGAATTATGCGACATAGGATTTTCATTGGTTGATTTCTTGGAAACATATCACTAGGACTTTTTTCTGAGGCATATTTGGGTGGACTCAAAATAGCTGAGTGAGTTAACTATATGCACCACCCAGGAACTCCTTTCCATCTTTGTTGTTGTTAAGTGCCATGGAGTTGGTTCCTACTCATAGTGAACCTAAATGAGTTTTCCAAAGAACTGCTGGTGAGTTTGAACCTTGGTCCCATGGGTCAAGTTGACCTTGTGGTCCAGTGCTTATCCTACAGTGCCACATCAGGACTCCTTCTGTCTTTAGCCTTCTGTTTAAATCGGGACTACTGGTGTAGCACTGTAGGATAAGCGCTGAACTGTCAGCGACAAGGTTGGAAGTTCAAACCCACCAGCTGCTCCTTGGAAACCCTATACAGGATCGCTATGAGTTGGAGTTGATTCAAGGATACTTAACAACAAAAACAATGTGAAAATAATAGATACAGTTCTATTTTCTGAATGTCAATTAAGGTAGTGTATGTGTTACATATCCATGTAATATTTAATTTAAAACAAACTCTTGAGTTACCTAGATAGAGAATCAAATTTTTTGTCATTGAAATTAGGAATCAAACCCAGATTTTTTTCTGTCACAGTGGCTAGAACACTAGCCCTGGGACTGACTTCCCAGAAAAACGAATTGCATTTTAATGTTTCTAGTGAGATTGATGTGGTCCAGTAGAAAGGGACTGGATTTAGACGTTAAGTCAGGAGTCACAAATGCACCATTTGAATTTGTAGCTAGTAGAGGAGCTCTGGTAGCGTAGTGGTTACGAATCGGGCTGCGAATCTCAAGATCAGCAGTTCGAAACTACCAGCTATTCCACAGGAGAAAGATGAGGCTTTCTGCTCCTGAAAAGATTTACAGCCTCAGAAACCCTGTATAGGGTTGCTATAGTTGGAACTGACACCACAGCACAGTGCCTGGTGTGGCACTGTGGGATAATGCGCTGGACTGCAAGGTGAGTTTTAACAGCAAGGTCAGACGTTCAAGCTCACCAGCCTCTCCTTGGAAACCCTATACAGAGTTGCTGTGAGTTGGAACTGACTCACAGTGCACCACCACCATCACCACCATGAGTTGGAACTGACTGTACAGCACTTAACAACAATCGGCCCTCCTTTCTAATACACATAGAAAGATTATGTCCAGAGAGATCTTTAAGTTCAGAGAGTAACTATTGTGTTGTTCAATATAATTTGCTTTTGAAAAATAAACATACAACTTCGTAATTAGATTTTATTTTTGTCAATTAAACTGCTACATGAATTGAGATATTATATATAGTTTTACTTATCTCTTGATGTGAAACAATTTACCCTAAAATTTAGCTTAAAACAACACTTATTATCCTGGTTTAGCGGCGTGTCTCTGGCTCCAGCTCTCTCCTGAAACTATAGTCAGCTAGGGCTGGGCTGCTTTCCTCTCAAGGCTAGACTAGGGTTAAAAGTCAGTTTCCAAGCTCATTCACATGGTTGGTTATTGACCGGCCTCAGAAGATTGGCATCCAAGTTCCTTTACATGGGCCTCTCCATAGGGCTGCCTTACAGCCAAAGTAGAGTAGACAGACAAAGTCTTTTATGACCTAATTTTGGAAGTTACTCCCACCTATCACTTCTGCTGTATTCTACTGGTTAGAAGTGATATAATATGTCTAATGCATATTTAAATATAAGGGATTGTACAAGGTCATAAAGACTAAGAGGGTATCACTGGGGAGCATCTTAGAGACTATGTATGAAAAAATCTAAGTAATATAATGATATAATGTTTTTAAAGAAAAGACATTTCCTGCTTAAATTTTGTGATACTCAGAATATATCTTCCCCCCACCCCTTGATATTGTAGGAGCAGTGTTCCTTTAGCTGGGACTGGGGGCCTTCATTTCCTACCCAGGGAATCTGGAAAGATGTTAGAATCGAAGCCTATAATATTTGTAATCTGAACTACTTCACATTTTCCCCTATATATGGTAAGATAAGAGGTATGGTTTCTTTTTTCTTTTTGAGCGTCCCCCTTATTATAAAAATTGGGTTTACAATTTGAATTAATAGACATACATTAGAGGTGAGGTTTTTATTTTTAAATTTTGTGACACATTCAGTTTACAAAAGTGGAAAATATAATATATGCTGCTGTGATTTTTTAAAGAGCTTTTATTATGAATTAAGTGATAGTTTACATTGCAGAAAGTTGGTTTTGCACTCAACCAATCATACTTTGCTTCATTGCAATGATTACAATCCCCTCCATGCACCATCGGCAAACTGCTTTTTCAGTTGAAGGAATAATTCACTAAAAAGGCACATTGAAGAAAAACCTCAGAACTCTCACAAATGTCAATGAATCTGTTAAATGCTGGTTGATTTCTTTGCATAGCACAGTGCTTAGAAAAGAAACATTGAATATGTATTTGGGCCTTAATGAGCTACACATCAATGGGGGTCACAAGAGAAGATGCAATCACTAAGCAATACAGACTGTGCATTCGTCTTCTAGGATGAGAGCCACAGTTGTTCAGAAAATCAAGGTCAGTGAGGAATGGAGAAGTTAGGAAAATCTAGGGCGTCAGTGCAGGCAAATGGGGCCTTAATGGATAATGCACAATGCTCAGCCCAATTATGCACAGGATTGAGGAGATGAAATCAGTAAGAAAGAATGTGGTGTGTCGGTATAAGAATTCTGTTATCATTAGGCCTCTATTCCCCCTAGATTGCCATTCAGTTGAGCCAAATCTGTATATTCTAAAGGCAGATGACAAAAGCAAATCACAGATGGCTAGTAATTGAGAAGGTTATTTGGTGCTGTTGGTATTTTTAAACACTGTTAAAAAGACATTAAGAGATCTGAATTCAATTGCATATATAAATGTGGCTGAATATATAGTTCTCTAATATAGCGTTTTTCAAACTATTCTGAAGAATTGTAACCTGAACTGAGGATTTTGGGTGCTAAAATCGTATAATGGTTTATTCTTCCCCATCCTCCCACTCCTACCCAAAAGTTTTCTCAGGTATATGTGAAGACTCCTGTTGTGGCACTGTAGGATCAGCACTGGACTGAGAACCACTGGATTTGTGGTTCAAATCCAACAGCTGCTACTTGGAAACACTGCACAGGGTCCAACTTAATGGCACTTAACAAACAAACAAAAAAATGTATTTTATTTGCTTGGAAGCTTAATCATTATTTTAGGTTTTAGTTTGCAAATATTACTATGGATTCCAGGTATCTGGAAAAATTTAAATCACAGTGTTGTAGTTTAATAGAAAATTAAGTATGAAGCTAAGCATTCTTCCTGAATATATGAGTTTATCTGTGATGCTGTAGGACTGGACCACAGGGTTGGTTAGAACTGCCAGGCCTGTGATTCAAACCCACCAGTCACTCCTTGGAAACCCTATATAGGGTTGCTATGAGTCAGAACTGACTTCATGGCACTAAACAACATGCATAAGCCCTGGACTTCTAACTGCAAGGTTAGCAGTTCAAACTCACCAGCTGCTCCTTGGAAACTCTACACAGGGTCACTGTGAATTGAAACCGACATGATGATATTTAACAACAACAATGATAAGTGAATTTTATTTAATAAAATAAATAGAAATGATGTTTAAATTTTGCATGGAAAAAGTCAAAAATCCCACTTCTCAAGTCAATGCAATTTATAAAATCTACTCGCCTCTATTTCACATGTGTTAGCAAGCTACCCATGTGGCATTTCTTTCTTTGACCTTACCCCCCTGTAGTTAGGTCAGACTTTACAAGTTTAAGGGCACAGTCATCCAGATCACCAAATTTTTCCAAAACCCCAAATGGGACTCTTCAGACTACCCTTACTTTGGACCTGTAGGCTACAAATTGGGGGTTTCCCCTCTATCTTTTCAGGATGCCAGTTGTAAGCTTGAAAGTCACCAGGACTTTTAAAATCACTGACCTATTTACTACAAATTTGAGGGTTCTCTCTGCCCTCCTTGAAGAACTCTAGTGGTGCAGTGGTTATGCACTTGGCTGCTATTTGAAAGCTCAGTGTTTTGAACACACTAGCTGTTCCACGAGAGAAAGATGTGGCCGCCTGCTTCTGCACAGACTTATAGCCTTATAAGGTGGATGGAATAAGATTCCCAATCAAATCCTCATAGGACAGCCCTGGCTATCCTCAAAGAATTAGCAGATGCAATGTCATGATGGAAAAAAATTTCTCCATGCAAATTATCTGGATTTTTTCTCAGCAATGTATTTTTTCAGTTTTCTTAAACTTCTTCATAATAAACCTTGTATCCTTTGAGAAAACCTATCAAGATTACCCCTGAAGACTAGGTGCTAGCGGCCAGAAGCCAGGATTGCAGAATGTGCTTTTCGGTTGTTTAAAATTATTATATATTCCTGATTTTTTCTGTGTATATCCCACATCCCACACCCCAAAATAAGAGGGAATGGAAACAAATGTTGTTGAATTATGATGCACAGAGGAGATTGCAATCATTGCAATGAAACAATGGTATAAAGCCGATGTTCTCCCATGTAAATTATCACTCAGTTCACAGTAAAAATGTTAAAAAAAACAACTAAGTTTCAGACAACTTGAAAATACAAAATACCAAACCAAGGACAACCAATGTCCATATAGAAGTTTGTTTACTTTTGTTAATGTATAGTAATTTTAATAAGTTATACTAGCTTTTAGTATAATTTATTAAAATTACTATATATTAACAAAAGTCCTGGTGTGGCACTGTGGGCTAATGTGTCAGACTGCAAAATCATTTGAACTGCAAGGTTGGTGGTTCAAACTCACCAGCTGCTCCTTCGAAACCTTATACAATGTCGGTATGGGTCAGAATCGACTCAACAGCACCTAACAATAACAACAATAGCTAGCTTTTAAAAAAATAATATTACCCCTCAAATCAATCATCTTACCTTCTGAACAAACCTCTCTGCCTTGAATTTAACTGGCCCAGTGCATCCCCTTGGAAGCCACTGTTTTGATTGGACGTTTATTTTGGAAGGCACCTTAATGAGACTTAGATTAGTGTATTACTGAGAAAATTTGTCTGTACCCATCCACTGATTGCAGAGACATGTTTAAATATGTTTTGTTTGGAATAAACCCATGTATGTATAAACTGAAACCATAATAGCAATACTTTTAGACTTGTCCAGAAATGCAGGTGTGTATGTAAGTGTGTGAGAGAGAAACAGACATGCAGAACCATAGATTCATTTATTAATAATTTTCTCTGTAGTTGTTAGCTACCATTGAGTTGGCCCTGCCTTATGATGACTCCATGCACAAAGGAACTAAATGTTGTCCAGTCTTGTGCCATTGTCACGATTGGTTGGGGATTGGGTTGTTGTGATCCATGTGTTTATTGACTGATTTTTTTTTTTTTTTTGGATGTAGATTGTCAGGCTTTTCTTCCCCATTCATCTTAATTTGCAAGCTCTGCTGAAACTGGTGCAAAATCATAGGGATGCAAAAGCCACTACTGACATATGGGTAGTGGCTATGCTTGAGGTTTATTAGTCAGAAATGAAGGTAAGAATTCTACCACTGACCCACCAATGTGCTACATATTTTCATATTTGTAACCCTACATGAATTGTTCACATTGGGCCCTAAAATTGATTGAGAGTGATGATTTACTAATTCTGTGAACTTTTAGTAAGGTTGTGGGAATATACTAAGTAAAAAAATATAAAAACCATACCCCTTATGGTTGAGTTGATTCCAAATCATAAGCAACCTGGCAAGACAGAGTAGAACTACCCTAGAGGGTTTCCAAGACTGTAATCTTTTAAAAAATTTTATTTAAAGTTTTTATTGCATCTACAGGGAAGTCCAGTTAATACCACTATTATTCAAATTTATGCACTGACCACTAAAACCAGTGAGGATGAAATAGAAGAATTCTACAAACTTCTTCAATCTGAAATTGATCAAACATGCAATCAAGATGTATTGATCATTACTGGTGATTGGAATGCAAAGGTTGGGAGCAAAGAGGAAGGATCAGTAGTTGGAAAATATGGCCTTGGGGGTAGAAATGATGCTGGAGAATGCATGATAGAATTCTGCAAAACCAATGATTTGTTCATTTCAAATATCTTCTTTAGACAGCATAAGAGATGACTATACACATGGACCTCACCGATGGAATACATAGAAATCAAATTGACTACATCTGCGGAAAGCGATGATAAAAAAGCTCCATATCATCAGTGAAAATAACGCCAGGGGCACACCGTGGAACAGACCATCAATTACTCATATGCAGATTCAAACTGAAGCTTAAGAAAATGAAAACAAGTCCACCAGAGCCAAAATACGACCTTGAATATATCCCACCTGAATTTAGAGACCATCTGAAGAACAGATTAGATACATTAATCACTAAAGACCGAAGACCAGAAGAGTTGTGGGATGACATCAAGAACATCATACATTAAGAGAGCAAAAAGTCATTAAAAAGACAAGAAAAAGGTCAAAATGGATGTCAGAAGAGATACTGAAACTTGCTCTTCAGCCTAGAAATGCTAAAGCAAATGGAAGAAATGAGGAGGTACAAGAGCTGAACAGAAAATTTCAAAGATCAGTCAAGAAGATAAAGCCAAATATTATGATAAAATGTGCAAAGAGCTGGAATCAGAAAATCAAAAAGGAAGAACACACTCAGCATTTCTCAAGCTAGGGGAACTGAAGAAAAAATTCAAGCCTCAACTTTTGTTATTGAAGGATTCTTTAGGCAAATTATTGAATGATACATAAAGCATCAAGAGAAGATGGAAGGAATATGCAGAGTCATTGTACCAAAAGGAAATGGTTCATGTTCAACCGTTTCAAGAGGTAGCATATGATCAAGAACCAATGATACTGAAGGAGGAAGTCTAAGGTGCGTTGAAGGAATTGGCAAAGAACAAGGCACCAGGAATTGATGGAATAATAATTGAAATCTTTCAAGAAAGTGA